CATGGTAAACTGGTAGCAAGGTTAGATCACATGGAATCCAGGGGCGGTTAGCCAATTGAATACAAAATTGACTTGAAGGTAAGAGACAGAGGGTGGTGGTAGAGGGTTGTTTTTTCAGTTTGGAGGCCTGTGACTAGTGGTGTTGTGTGAGGATCAGTGCTGGATCCACTGCTTTTTGTCAATTATGTAAATGATTTGGATGCGAGTATCAGAGGCATGGTTAATAAGTTTGCAAATGACACCAAAATCGATGGCGTAGTGGATAGTGAAGAAGGTTATCTCAGAATACAGTGGAACCTTGATCAGATGGGTCAATGGTCTGAGGAGTGGCAGATGGAGTTTAACTTAGATAAATGTGAGGTGTTGCATTTTGGTAAGGCAAACCAGGGCAGGACTTATACAATTAATAGTAGGGCCCTACGGAGTGCTGCCGAACAAAGAGACCTTGGGGTCCTGGTGCATTGTTCCTTGAAAGTGGAGTTACAGGCAGACAGAGTGGTGAAGAAGACATTCAGTATGCTTGCCTTCATGGGTCAGAAAATTGAGAATAGGAGTTGGCACATTATGGTGTGGCTGCACAGGACACTGATGAGGCCACTTGAAGAATGCTGCATTCATCTCTGGTGTCCCTGCTATAGGAAAGATGTTGTGAAACTTGAAAAGGTTCAGAAAAGATTTAAAGGATGTTGCTGGGACTCGCGGATTTGAGATATAAGGAGAAACTGAGTGGCTGGGACTTTTTTTCCCCGGACCATCGGAGCACATAGGTATAAGAAGAGAGGGGAAAGATTTAAAAGGGACCTGAGGGGCACCTTTTTCACACAGAGGGTGGTGCGTGTATGGAATGAGCTGCCAGAAGAGGTGATGGAGGTGAGTACAAATACAACATTTAAAAGGCATCTGGATGGTTACATGAATAGGGAGGGTTTAGAGAGATATGGTCCAAATGCTGGCAAATGGGACTAGATCAGTTTAGGATACTGGGTCGTTGCAGACGAGTTGGAACGAAGGGTCTGTTTCAGTGCTATATAACTTTATGACTCCATAATACTCAAAAAGATTAACATTATCCAAGATAAAGCAGTCAGGTTGACTGGCCCCCCATTCGTCATCTAAAACATTCATTCCCTCCATCACCAGCGTGTAATCTTGTCAATGTGTAACACATACAAGACGCACTACAACAACTCAACAAACTTTCTTCGACTGCACATTTCAAACCCGTGACCTCTACCACCCGGAATGATAAGGACAGCAGATGCATGGGGAACTGTAAGTTCCACTTCCAGCCACAAACCATCCTGACTTGGAATGGCATTGCTTGCTCAGGGGTTATTAGAGATAGTCAGCAAATGGTGGCTTTGCAGTGAGGTTGACAGTCCATGGACACATTTGAAAAATGCCACTCAGATCTGGCTGAGTAGAACTGAATGATTCATTGTCAGCATTGAGTTGTGCCTGAGATTTCTCACCAGATTTACCAAAACTTGCAGGAGTAGTCATCGCTACCGCATAACACCAAAGTCATCACTGTTGTCAACTATTATGTCATCTCACCAGTCAGCTACTTTTGAGTTGAAACTAGGATCTCTAAACATACTATTTTCATACAAAATGCTGCTAAAAGTAACTTCAAGGCCTAAAGAACTTAACAGTACATTCATTAATTGCATGTTCTAACCAGGGAACACTATTCAAAGGCAGCTTAGATTGAGGTACAGTGTTGACATCTGGCCTCTGATCCTTCAAACACAATTGCGAAGATTGCAGGAATGGAATTTGCATAATCCTGGTGCTTTTTTCCAAATGATTCTTCCAGAGGATGTGACAATTAATGCAAATCTGATTTTTATATCCAATTTTTATTCAAATAAGTTCCCAAATGAAAATAATTACTTTATAAGACATTTTTATTATACTATGCTAGATTGTCTGAGCTGGTAGCAATCTCACTCAAGTCAGAAGTGAGAAATTGTTTCATGCAGCATTTCTACCTCAGTTCCCAGGGTGGGGTAGGGTGGGTGGGGGGAAGATGTTCGCAAAACAGTACAACAAGCCGGGGAAGGCGACGGCCTAGTGGTGTTATCACTGGACTGTTAATCCAGAGATGCAGATAACATTCTGAGGACCAGGGTTCAAATCCTGCTGAGGCAGATGGTGGAATTTGAATTCAATAAATATCTGGAATTAAGAATCTAATGATGACCATGAATCCATTGTTGATTGTCAGGGGAAAAACCCAACTGGTTCACTAATGCCCTTTATGGAAGAAAACTGCCATCCTTACCTGGTCTGGCTGACGTGTGACTCCAGACCCACAGCAATGTGATTGACGCTTAACTGCCCTCTGGGCAATTAGGAATGGGCAATAAATGCTGCCTAGTCAGCGATGCCCTCATCCTGTGAATGAATAAAGCAAAAAAAGCCTGCGTGATGCACAATGCTGCTTGCTCTGCAGAAACAAGGTATGTCTGCACAGCACTGCTAGTTGCCAACTCCCCCTCTGTAGTGTTCAAATCTGGGATCTGAGTACTTGCTTTAGACAGGCACTTCAATGCAATATTCAAAGAAGGTTGCATTGTTAGAGGAACTGCTTTCAGATGAGCCATTAAAATATAGCACTCTCTGCTTTGAGTTTAGATTGCTCCATTATAAAATAAACAGGGATAAGGCACTATAGTTATGAGAGGGGTTTTGAGACAGTGGGAGCAGTGAGCTGTGGAAGTTTCTTTTATTAAAAGGATTGAGTGAGTAGTTGAATAATATTTTCTCTGGTTAGAAAATTGCTGTCAAGGAATCATCAATTAAAAGAATATGGAAAGAGGTTAAGAGAAATAACTTTGCACAGAAAGTTAATGAAACACTTTGCCACAGAAGGCTGTTGCACTGTTCAAAAGAAATGTGTAACTATTTGAAGTAGAGCAAACTGCAGAGACAGCAGGGCACTGAAACTGCATTCTGGGTTGTTATAGCGAGGAGCTAGTACAGACATGGTGGGCCAAATGGGCTTCTCCTACACTGTAAATGTCTCTGGTTTTATAAGATATACAATGTAAGATTGAGCTTTACTCTGTGTTTGGCTGTACTTTACCTGACCTGACAGGATTTGTATTGGTTCATAGATTGAAATGGAAAAGTGTTGTATTCACCAACACTAATATTGCTCATTTGACAGTGCCAAAATTCACAAATCTACATAATATGCTTTTATCTCTATCCTTTGTTCTTAGTTGGGGCTGTAAATTGGATAGCCCTATTATTTAAATAGTTTCTTAGATCCCTGCTTTTTCATTTTATTAAAATCATATGCATAAACAACTAACTTGCAATAAATATACATTCCAACAGTGGAGTAATATTTCACCTTGACGTACAGTACCTAAAACTATATGAATTAAACCACCTTAATAAAATACCTCATCGTTTTTAAGCCATTTTTTCACTGGAAGATTAATTAGACTAGAAATGCCACTGCACCAACTACTCCTAAGAGATTGTAAGATAGGAAAAATGTAAAAGCATCTGTGCTGTCTTCTCCTACCCACTGCTTGGTCTAACTGATGATTAAATGTTTGTTTACATGTCTACCTGGAATCAAGGAATGTAGCAATGCAGAAACAGGCCCTTTGGCCCATTAATTCAGTGCTGTTTCTTTAATCTCTGGAGCCAACTAGTTAGCTTGCTTCTTCTCTCCCACTTGCTTCTGATATCCTTTCATATATTGATAGAATTAACGGTTGTGGAAAAGGAACTGTGCAAGGTTTAGACCCAGCTCCGATAGACTAATATTATTGTGTACATCTTTGCTACTGAGAAGGAAACAGATTAGGGCAGAATCAAAATTACAAAAGTCAGAAAATAAAAGCCTTGCTGAATTTATGCTGCAAATTCCAACTGCAGTTCTTCAAAGGATTCAGTTAAGATAAATGCAATGTTTTGTTTTAAATAAGTGGGTTAAATACTATTTTTAAAAAAGACATCTTTTATTTCTATGTAAAAACACAGGAAGGAAAATTAACTCTGAAGACTAAATCAAAAATGTATTATTCAGAAGTTCATACACTCTCCTTTGTCAGCCAAGGGATTTCCTAAAGCCAAAAATAATGAGGAGTGACTACAGTATCTTAATTAACATTGACCTTATTACATCTAAATCAATACACACACTAAAAGTCTGCTGGGACCCACATAGATAGAACATTGGGTTAACCCTTAGGAATGCACTGTAAATTTAGACAATGTAAACCATAAATGTAAGCTGTTCCTGATAGACCATGTAGTCAAGTTAAATAGAAATCAGGAGTGATTTGGATTCTAGTATTGTTTAGAAAATTCAATAGTTTCTCCTGGGAATATTTTCCATTTAAAATTGCAAATATTTTTTATGTATCAAAGTAACTTTGCCAAATTAGTCCTTGGAATTAAATAATGTCAGAACATTTATGAACATCTTCTGAAAATGTGGGGTCTTGCTAACTAACATTTATCAGACTAAAGGTATGAAATCCACTTCGGGGATACGTTAATGTTTGCATTTGCAACATTGCTCCGCATCTTTCTAAAGCCCTGCTTTACTACTCGATGAAAATGTAGCCGAATAGCTGGTTAAAAAAATACCATTTAACATGCTACAGATGCAACTCGCGTTGCCAACTGTCCTTTTCTGAGCATTTGGCAACGTTGCTGTGCATCAAAAGTTGATTGTCACTGGCATCCATGAGTCAGCCTGCTTCCTGGTTGCATTTCCCACAAGTTGGAAATAGAGACAGGCCGCTCGGTTCAATGGCTCCACGCTACTGTTCATGCTCCCCAAAAGCCTCCTCCTCCCACAAAGTTTCTCGTAGCCCTTCACTGAGCAAACATATATATATATTTGTGAATTGCCATCGTGTTGCCAGCAGACTATGACTCTGCTAATTGTGAGAGGGGTGTTGAACGTTCTGCCGACGCTTGTTCCAATGGGCGCATTAGCAAGTGAAAGCTCAGGAGATGTTCCCTACCCTCTAGCTCCTCTTCGGAAATGTTAGCCAACTGCTCGATGTCGCTGCCATCGGACAGTGAGCCGCTCAGGTAATTGCCTTTGTACAGGAGGCCGGTGTGCACAGGATGGAAAGGCATCTTCTCCCTGGGGGAGAGACAGACAGACAGACAGATAGATAGAGAGAGAGGGAGAAAGATCAGACGCGGGAGTTTCAGCCTGACGGTGTTGGTTGAACTCCTCACCTTAAGCCCGGCGCCACATGCCGCTGTCCTTGGCTCTGACTCACCGCCGGGGAAAGGGGAAGCGCTGGGAGGTAGGGGCGCCGTTTCCCATGCCACAACCAGCTGAGGGGTGGGCGTTGGGTGTTGTAAATATGAATTACTACAAGGGGAGCAGATCCCACTTGTTACGGACGATCACTTCTGTATGCAGCTCCCGGGGGGGGAGTGGGGAGGGAGCCAGACTGCGAAACCGAAGAGATTTACCTTCCGAGGAGAGGGAGGGGAGGGAGTCACTAGGAGGACCATTCCTCCGGGAGCCCAAGGCGCTGCCCACCCCCCACTCACTATCCTTCAGAATGAAGGTCAATGCCCATAGGCAGCCCACTCCTCCCTCCCGTGTACCTGGTTTGCTGGTGCCACACTCCGCGCTCAGGCTGCCTTTACCGTGCCCCGGGGGCGGACGAGCTGCCCCGAATGGAGAGTGGGCGAGGGGCTGAGGGGTCGCTGGTGTTGGTATTGGTGACGGGGTCAATGCCCGGGGCTGGCAGATCAGATACAGCTGGCCAGCCTGGCGAGACTTCACTTCACCATTTCCAATCCAGAGCCGGGGACGCACTTCCATCCGCTTCAAAGTGCCCGGCTTCTCAAAGCGACGGTGCCTTGGTTTTTTCTGCAGGTGCCATTCCCAAAGTTAACTGCTGCTGCTCTGCTGAAGGAGCGTCACTGCCAAACATCGGGGCAGCTTCAGCTCTCTCTCTCCCTCTCTCTCTGTGTCTGCCTGTCTATCTGCCAGTGGTCAGGCTTCGCGCTGCACCCTGCCCGGCTCACCAATGCACAGTCTTTTAAAGGGACGACTTTTAGTTTGTCTCAGCCCGATCAGCAGGATGTACACATCTTCCACAATTCAAGTGGTGTCACATCCCACAGGGCAGCTTCACTGGAGATCCCCCAAAGCCCCTAACCCTGTGTAAATTCCAGTGCCTGCAGGATATTGTATATACTGTGCATACCTACTCACTGACAGTGTCCCCTTAATGTATAGCAACACAAAGATGCTGGTAAATCTATTGATGGAACACATTCTGTCAAACCAAATTACAGTTCAGCACACTTCTAAAAATAAACATAATTAATATTGACGGCACGTTATTTTACAAAAAAAAACTCATTGATACTGTCCTCCAGTGATAGCATCAAAATCTTTCTCATCACTTCCATTCTCCCAACGATCTTGTTCAATCTTAGGCGTTGTACAGCAACAAGGAACCGAAGTAAGGCTATTCGACCCTTCTGCTCTGCTGTTCGCTGAGAAATTGCCTCCTCTGGATCTTCACCTCATCCACCCACCTTAGTTCCAAATCCTTTTCTACAATTTTCTGGCAAAAAAACAAAATCTGTCAATTGCAGATTTAAAATTGATATTTGAGCTTGCTTTTTGCAGGATAGAGATCCCAACTTCTACTGCTCTGTGAAGAAGTGTTTCCTGGCTTTCTTGTAGAATGGCCTGGCTCTGATTTTCAGGTCAAGTCCCTTTGCTCTAGATATTGTCTAATCAACCTAAACGCAGATGTAATGACACAGCTCTGGAGCAGGTGGGACTTGAACCTGAATCTCCTAACTCAAAGGTAGGGACACTACCATTGTTCCACAAGGACTGAGCCCCTTTGTTAGATTTTCTAATCAACTTGTTCAGAGATGTTTTTACACAACTCTGGAGCAGGTGTGACTTGAACCTGGGCCTTCCTACTCCAGGAGCAGGGATGCTACTGCTGAGTCACAATAAAACCTCTCCCCGTGCTCTAGATTTCCCCAGCAAATTGAAAAAATGTTTGTCACTAATCAGCCCATCAATTTGTTTCAAAATGCTAAAAAAACAATAAAAACATTCCTTAATTTGGTTTTATTCTTTATGAAATCTGGGTGTCATAAACCATTTATTGTCCCTCCCCACTTGCCCTTGAGAAGGTAGGGCCGAGCTGCCATGTTGAACCACTGCAGTCCATTTGCTGTAAGAACATTCACAATGCAGTCAGAGACACTGAAGGAACAGCGATATATTTCCAAATCAGGACGATGCGTGACTTGGATGGGAAGTCGCAGTTGGTGGTGTTCCCTCATACTTGCTGCCCTTGTCCTTCTAGATGGTGGTGGTCGTGGGTTTGGCAAATTTCTACAGTGCATCTTGTAGATGGTACACACAGCTGCTAATGAGGATTGGTGGATGGGGGAAGTGGATGCTTTTGAATGTGGTGCCAATCAAGTGTGCAGCTTTGTCCTGGATAGTGTCAAGCTTCTTGAGGATTGTCAGTGTAGCACCTATCCAGGCATGTGGGGAGTATTCCATCACACTACTAGCTTGTGGCTGGTAAATGATGGACAGGCTTTGGGGAATCAGGAGGTGAGTTCCACACTACACTATTCTTAGCCTCTGACCTGCTCTTGTAGCCATTGTATTTAAATGGTGAGTCCAGTTGAGTTCTGGTCAATGGTAACCCCCAGGATATTGATAGTCAGGGATTCGGTGATGCTCACTGAACATCAAGGGGCATTAGCTAGAGTGTCTCTAATTGGAGATGGTCATAACCTGCCATTGTGTAGCACAAATGTTAATTGCTAATATGTCAGCCCAAGCCTAGATATTGTCCAGATTTTGCTGCACTTGAACATGGACAGCTTCTGGCTCCCTTGCTTTCTGAACTGATAAAAATCACAGGTTTGGAAGTTGCTGTTAAAGGAGCCTCAGTGAATTGCTACAATGCATCTTATTGATGGTACATACTGCTGACACTGTGTTAACTTTGGAGGAGTTGAATATTTAAGTTGGTGGGATACTAAGCAAGCAGACTGCCCTGTCCCAGATGATGCCAAGCTTTCTCAATGTTGTTGGAGCTTCACTCCCTGAGGTAAGTGGAGAAGATTCTACTACACTTCTTATTCATAACTTGTAAATGGTGGACAGGCTTTAGGAAATCTGGAGGTATGTCAGTCACCTCAGAATTCCCAGTCTCTGACCTACTCTTATAGCTACTGTATTAATATGGTTGGTCCAGTTCAGCTTCTGGTCAATTGTAACCACCAGAATGTTGATAATGGAAGATTCAATTATGGTAATACCATTGAATATGAAGGGGAGATGGTTAGGTTATCTCTTGTTGGATATAGTCATTACATGGCACTTATTTAGTGTGAACATCCCAAAATAATAGTTAACTCTGTTTCTCTCTCCACAGATGCTATCAGACTTGCAGAGTTTCTCCAGCACTTTCTGTTTTTATTTCAGATGTACAACATGCATAGTTTTTTTTTTGAGATATAGGGACGCTACCATTGTACCAGAAGAGCCCTAACAAGTCATTTTTTTATATCCAAAGCGCTTTAACTCACGACTGAACATTCTTCCTCCCATCACAAAATCACTGTTAGCATTCATAATATTATGCTTTGATTTGAATGAATATCACATGCCATTTATTACCCAAAGGCTGTATGTTATCCATGTTTTAGTGCATGTGGGCACAGGCTGCTTCAGTATCTGAATAGTCACGAATGGTACTGAACATTGTGCGATCATCAGTGAATATCCCCCATTGTCTTTATAATGGAGGGAATGCCATTGGTGAAGCAGCTGAAGATGGTTGGGCCTGGGATATTAGCCTGAGAAACTCCCACAATCTGTCCTGGAATTGAGATGGTTAACCTCTGAAAATCACAACCATCTTCCCTTGAACCATCTTCAACCAGTGGAGTATTTTTCCCTTGATTTCCATGAACTGCAATTTTGCAAGGGCCCCAAGATACCATACTCAATTAGTTGCTACCGTGACCTCTGTCACCTCACCTCTTCAGTTCAGCTTTTTTGACCATGTTTGGACCAAGGATGATAATGTGCTGAGCAGTTCTGGAGGAACCAAACTGAAGCTTTTGCTGTGTAAGTGCTTGATAGCACTGTCAATGTTGCTGTTCAATAGTTTGCTGATAACCATGAGTAGATTAATGGGACAGTAATTCACTGGATTGGATTTGCACTGTTTTTTGTAGGCAAGTCAATTTTCCATATTATCAATTTCATGCCAGTGTTGTAGCTGAACTGCAACGGATTACTAAGGATGTTGGCTAATTTTGGTGCAAAGGAATATGTATCCAATTTATGTAACTACCCCCCTATATAAATGTATGTTGTTGCTATCTCAGTGATTCCCTCCATTTGCACCACTCCTAATGCATCTCTTATGCCAATTGACTTTTGCCTTGAACTTTGCTTCTCTAGATCACGAATAGTAGCTACTACTCCATAAGTAATTCAGTAGTCTCATCTCTGAACCAGAAGATTATTAAGGTGGGAGACGTGCGTGGTTGGGAAGAGAACTTTAATGAGGTTTGGGCTGATGGGAAAGGATAGGGAATAATGTGACCAAAGCAGCTGAAATGAGTTCTAAGTTGTAAATCTGGTGGCTTTCATCAGATACTCTCCAGCCTCAAAACATCTGCCCCCATCCATGATCTCCACCTTCAGGGTAATCAGTCAATAGTGGCAGCTATAGTACCCATAATCCCAAAACTGTCCCACCCATTTACCAAACAAGAGTCCACATCTGTCATAGTATCCTGAACAGGTCATGGGTCTGGTGTTTGTTTAATATTTATTTGATCACTGTAATGTTTGAGAGATTAATGTTCAATTCTCAGAAACTCCAGGACAATTCAAGAGCAATGATATCTCTTGGCTGAAAAATGGTTGCATCAGACTTGGGACAAAGTCCACAAACTCTTCATAGTTCTCTCCTCACTGCCAGCAATGACTAACGGGAGAAAGAAGAACAATGGACATTTTTGACAGAGAGAGAATAAGGTCTGATAACTTTTGATGACCTCCAGTCAGATATAGCAATGAGTGGCGAAACGAGAGATAACCCAAC